TCCATACGCACAGACAAGCCAGCAACCACATCCCAAGAACTTCCTGGGCTGCTATCCAGACCTCTCTGCCGCAGTTCTCTGAAAGCCACAGTGGTGCTTGGTTTTGGTTTAACCAGCTTTTCAAACTTTACATTAAAGAGGTTTAGAAACCTTTGTTCAGATGGGAGAAGAATAGAGGCAGCACCTTTCAATACACGTTTTTTTGGAATCTATCAGATTGGAAGGCAGGCAACTACTTTGTTTGCAGGATCAATCATTTGGGGGAAACACAAAGAAGGGGGCTCTGGAAGGGGTTTGCTGTGATATTCTCAGGGAAGCCTCAATCTCGGCCAAGGCCTAGAGCCTTGGCCATCTGCACCTAGGACTAGGATCCGGTGTCACTGAACTCCACAATCAGGCCATTCTGCTAGCAAGGAGGGAGAGCTGCACGCAGCCAACAGAAGCAGAGGTGCTGCTGTTGGCTTTGGAGTAAGAATTAGCTACTCATTCCAGCAACACTGTCCCAGCGTGCCTCCTCATGTGTACGACGGGTAAAATGCCTTCTTCCTCACCTGCTGATGGCAAAATCTCAAGTCAACGCCCACGGACGTGAAAGCATCTATGGCTCACTCGTTTTATTAAGTGTAGGGAGCAGAGCAGTTTCCACAGGGGTCCTCGGGAGGGAAGCGGGCCAAGGCCAGCTATTCTAACCAAGGGGTGCCCAGGGCTGCTGGGGAGGACACTGCTCCCTCACTCCTTCTATAGCTGTGGGAAGGAGGAGCTTCCATTTCCTGCCCTAGGAGAGAAATCCACGGCGGGAATCCTTGGCTTGGCCAGGCACCCTCTTGTTCAATCCTGTCCAGAGGAGGAGGAGGAATGCCCTCCGGGGGAGTCTGGGAGAAGGAACTGAGCTCCATCACCCCTTCCAGCTCCCTCCTGGGGAGCAGCCAGCGCAAGGCCCTCCCGTAGCTCCTCCTCGCTAGGAGTTTATGGGCAGCTCCATGCTGGCGACACCTGCCATTGTCCACTTACTCCGAGTGGAGGAACGCAGTCTTCACATTCTCAGGTGAAGTGTTTGCAACATTTGCCCTCAGGTCTAATGCTATATTCTCCTTTCAGGCTTATCAATAAACACTTTTATCTCATTTGACTGTCCCCTGGGCTTTGTTTCCCAAATGATACTAAACTTGAGAAGGGGAAACACAGTAATTTAAAGCCTCTCTAAACTGCAACATCCTTCAAGGCAGGAATAAGCATTCTCAAGTTGATACTTTTGAATTCTTAAAGAAACTACATGATCGGGAGGCAGAGGCTAACTAAAAACCTATTTACTTTGCTCTGACAAGCTGAGTGGCCTAACATGTCTGCTTTAGAAAACAAATGAATTATTAGCAAGTTCGGGTTGTTGACAAAATTTTTTTTTTTTTTGAGACAGGGTCTCGCTCTGTCACCCAGGCTGGAGTGCAGTGGTACGATCTCAGCTCATTGCAACCTCTGCCTCCTGGGTTCAAGCAATTCTCATGCCTCAGCCTTCTGAGCAGCTGGGATTACAGGTGCCCGCCATGACACCTGGCTAATTTTTATATTTTTAGTAGAGACGGGGTTTCACCATGTTGATCAGGCTATTGACAAAATATCTTTTAATTATAGTGTCCGAGTTGGGACTATGAGGTGGACTATGACTGATTATGAAGTGACTATGACTATGAAGTGGGCCTGGAGATGAAGAGGGAGCCTCTGTGGGGCCCTGGGAGTGCTTGGAGCCTACTTCCCTCATTGTCTTTATCGCTCCAATTGGGCCTGCCCATCTGCTGGTCTGTCTCATCAATATGCCCCACAATGGTGGGGACTGAGAACTTATTCATCTTACACATGGTAGGTCTCCATAGACAGGTGAATAGATGCATACTTAAATGGAGGAATGATCACAGCCTGGAAGGAGGAACACTCCACTGAGAGGAGGGCAAGGCAGCACCTTCTCTCCCCTGGTAGTAGCAGCTCTTGCCTCAACACTAAGCTCCCCTCTTGCCAGCCCCCGCTGCAGAGCTGTTGTCAGAGGTCTCTGTGGAGCTGCCCTGGCTAGCTGCACAGGCACCGGCTTTGCCGGGTGGAGAGATGAAGGCAACAGTCTCGACGGTTTCCATCCCCACTGGCAAGCGAACTGTTCTTAAAGAATGAAATCCACAGAAACACAGACCCAAGGCAAGGATATTTTTTGAGGTTAAAATAGGTGCTCTCTCTGGCTGGTTAAGATTATTTTGCCAGGGCGGGGTACAGCAGCTTTAATAGACATATCACATGCAGTCCCTGCTTGGTTTGAGAGCTGGTGTGGGCTCGAGGTGAGGTGTCTGGGCTTGGGTTTCCAAGCTGGTGGCCCTGGGCAGGTTCTTTCATGTCTATGAGCTCCAGCTCTGGGTCAATAAAATACGGCTAATGGTCCCTTCCTCAAAGGGATATGGTGGAGACAACAAAAAAGATACCGAGGAGTCCGTTGGTTTCCAAAACGAGAATATATACCATTAGGATTACGTGAGTGCATTAGGTGATCCATAGAGAAACACTTCAAATTGTTTTATATGTTAGAAAAAACTTGTACTAGTATATTAAACCTATAATTTCACCAATGGCATCTCTGAAGATGAGGCTAAGATGCTATAGATGTCAGGTCTGAGTCTTGTTTAAATAAAACTATCAAGTAAAAAAAATAGTATAGATGATAAGAGAGCGTGGTAAAAACTTTTGAAATGAAACTCAAGAGACTGTTCTTTGGGAAGAATATCGAGTCCTTAAAACTCATTCCTGCCGGCAGTAGGTGCTCTAGAAACGGTACTTGTTACGGTCAACAGCCCATCAAACCAGGGACCCGGGAAAAGACTCAAGGACGACGTACCATGAGGGCAAAGCTGGAAAGAGTTAAAAGAAAGGGGTCTGTGGTTTCCCTGGCTCAACCCCCCTCCCCCTGCAGCTAATCTGTCACCTAATGAAGAAGGGGCCAGCACAAGTGAGCTAGCTGGCAGTTCACTTACAGCAAACTGATTAAGAATGTTCAACCAACAGCAGACTGTAGACCTTTCCAGAGAAAATAAATAGAGTGTAGACTGTATGCAAATGTGTTTGTCACTTTGACAGCACGTCTCAATTAAGGCATCTCGCGGCTGTGGGTAGGCTCTGCGGCTGCAGCTGGAAGGGAGAGTCTGCTGCATGGCTGATACTAGGGGCTTGACCTTAATCCGCATGCATGCATTAAAAAAAAAAAAATCCTGCCTTCCTGTACACTTGCATAATGCTGGCAGCCACGTGAGGGAAGTGACAAACGGGGAAAAAAAGCCACTTTCATCCTCTCCAGTTTGCAGACCGGTGAAGGCACAGACAGCTCTTATTTCAACAGAGTTTGGGGTGGCTTTTTTCATTGTTTATCCCCACCCGTGCACACACACATACTCTTATTCTGCATTTAGCTGGGAATGACATTAAAGAATCTCTACTTCTGGCTGAAATGGAAAGAAGGTCTTTCTCCATTTCAAATAGGGCCTCCTTTTTTTGTGTTTCGAAAATGGAATGTTTAACACCATGAAATCCCTCTCCCCCGCCCCCTCTTTCTCTGTAATGGGCTCCAAACTCCAGTGAGGGGCTCCTTTCATGGGAAGGTTGGTGTGTGCAGGAACGAGGACAAAGGAAAGCAGGAAGCTGACTCTGGAATGCCACGCTGGCTGGCGACAACCAGGGGCTGCGCTTTCAGCGAACACAGCCAGGGAACTGGGGTGCGGATTTCTCCAACAGGGCCTGCGCCTGGGGCTGGGGGGAGGCAGCTCTTCAGGGGAGCAGACACCAGTGCAATTTGAAAATACTCATTAACGAAATGAGTATCACCCTGTGGATTCTTCTTCCTTGCATTTCATTTCAATTTTTATAACATCCTTTTAAGTCTAAAATCAGAAAAGGGAAGAACCTCCCCAAGTTAAAGATGTATAAACATATATTATCTGAAAATATTGATTAGAGAAGAGTGACTTTTATGTTCCAACCAACTCACCCCTTACAGTAATAACCTAGAGCAAGAATTTTGTTAGTTTCGTTCATTTCTGCATAGCTCAATGCCTGGTACATAGTAGGCACTTGATAAAGGTCTGTTAAAAACAGGAATGTAGGCTTCTAGGTCCTTTACACGTGGTGAAATAGCAATCACATTTAAGATAAAAATCATAAAGACTCTTAATCATGCGTCATCTAATAAATGGCTACAGAATCAGGTGATTTAAAAATAAATAACCATGCAAACTCTTGTTACCGCCATATCTTGCCAAAAGAGCCACTTCTCATAGATCTCTCCAAATGATGACTTTCACTAACCAAAAGTCAATTCAAGAGATGTAGGAAAGGGTACACAATCCTTTTTAACCAAAAATATAATTACAAGTAGGAAGGGGATACAAAATTTTAGTTTCTATACAGACTGCAATGTTTTACTTAAGGGAAAAAAAATAGACAATTTTTCAAATGCTCAGGTAGTTGAAAACAGTTGCTTAAAAAACTGAATCTCTAGAATTGTAGTGCGGGTGTTTACTCTCAGAAGCACGACTCCTGATATTGATTTTCAGGAAGTACATTAATAAAGAACTCCTAATTGATTTTTTTTTTTTAAGACTTCGCTTGTTGCCTTTTATTTGAAGTGTGCAAAGAAGGGCCCGGGATGCTAAAGTGTTCTAATGAGATGCTTAGCTAACAGAGGCACCTTAAGCAGAGTGCCTTGGAGTAAGGGAGGCAGCAGTGCATTTAATGACTTCATTCAACAGTCCCGCTCATTTATGACCTCAGCTGTGCTGTCTCCTCAAAATTTTTGAAAATTTGCCTGCAAAACATGTTTGCACCAAATAAACATTTAAAGATGTGAAAACCTCCGTGGAGCCGTACTGCCAAAGAGAACTGAAATGAAAAACCGTCTGCTGCATGTGCTACAGCTGCTGCTAAAAATGAAAATAAAAAAACCCCAAACGGACAGGTAGGAGGGCCAGGGTACACACCTGTCCAAAGTGGACTGTGATTGGCCGCCGGTCTTCTCGGAGCTTGGGGTCCTTGGCTTCCACCAGGGGGGACGGTGCAGTCTTTGGCAGCTGCTCTTCCGGGGTGGGGGCGCAGCCGTTCTCAGCAATGTCCTGCAGGGAGAAGGAGAGTCGAGGGTTGGCACTGGGGTTCCGGCACCTGTGTTCCCTCTCACCCCACAAGGAAGAGGCCTGCCACATGACTCTCTCTGTGACATTCTAAGCCTGTCCTCCTGATGAAGATGGGGGGAATGGAGGGCTAATTTGGCTCTTTGACTTTTCAGAACTAGAGAAACCCAAACCATCCATGTTAAACTATAAAGATAACATAATAATTCACAACAGTGGGGAAAACAATTATTATTGTTCATCTTATTCTCTTACGCGGCTATTTTCATTTTTATATATTCACTTTGTCCACATGCAGACATTTAAAAATTACTTGCAATCACAGCTCATGCATAATTTTATATCCTGCTTTTCCCAATGTATTACAAGCATTTTCATGTTGCTACAAAGTCATTACAAAAATAATTTTACTAATGCATATTTCACTGAGCGGATATACAATAATTTAATATAACACAATTCAGTATTCCACTACTATTGGGCATTTAGGGTTCTTTCTAATTTTTTTTAAACATTTGAAATGCCAGTGATAAATACTGCAGTTTTTCTTTCTTTCATATTATTTCTTTTTATGGAAATCCCCAGGAATGAAATTACTAGGTCAACAGATATAAACATTTTCAAGGCTTTTTATTCATTCTATCAAATTGCTTTCCAACTTATACCAACTACCAACAATGGATGCATTACCAGTTTCAGGGTATTTGTGAGCTGTATCATTTAAAAAATGTATCGCTAATTTAATAGGTGAAAAATTCGACTTCATTGTTGCTTTAATTTGCATTACTTTAATTATGAGTATGGACACTTTTTCCACATTTGTTTACTGATGATGTTGCTGTTTGTGAATAAGATGTGTTTGTTCCTACCTCTTCCTACCCCTAATCTTTCTGGCAGAAAATAAAAAGACTGAAGTCTGAATCAGCACTCTATGACTTGGGAAACATTTAGGGACCAAATAAATCTTTTTAAATCCAGAAATTTACATTTAATCTGTGCTTCCGATGACTGAAGTCAAATTATCAGGAAAAGGAAAACACCAATGTGGAAAAGGCAGGTCACAGCTCTGGTGGCTGAAGCCGGCAGCTGACTATACACACGGGTCATTTGGAGCATGGATGGGGCCACTCATGCATCAAGGGTCCCGTGTTTTACTCAAGTCAAGGAAGTTGCTTCAGTCTTCATTGGAACCAGGCGGAGAATACATGTACAAATAAATATTTAAATAATCATTTTTCTTACCAAATAAAAATAACTCAGCCAGAATTATATAATGAACACAAGTTCCAATTATTTTCATTGCAAAGCAAATACTTTGGTCAACAAAACATATCCCCTTAGTACTGATTAAATTCTGCACACGAGAAACTTGATACTTGGTGGCTCCTAACTTCTCAGCTAAGAGAGAATGGTGGGACATGGAGGAAAGTGGTCCCTTATTGAAAAATAATGCATTAAAGAAGAAACTTATATACATCTCTAAGACTCAGTTTCCTCATCTGTGAAATGGGCATATGGTAGCATGAAGATTAAAGGAGACAGATAATACAACTGAGTGTCAAGAACATTATTAGCCATTCAGTAAATTATGGAAATTATACAACCTACCCTCCACCACCAATATTTGACCTCACACATCTAGCTGCCTACCAGCTGGCCTCCTTTCCTAAGGAATCAAGGCTGCCTGTAGAGGCCAGACCTGAGGAATCTGTACTGCTTGGTAAACAACAAAGGGAGATGATGACCTCTTGGCTTTACAGGGAGGGCTTGGATCAAGTGGCCCACGTTTGATCAGCCAGTCTCAGCCAGGCTGAGGTTCGGTGATGAAAGAGGTTGTCGATGGCTAAACAGAAACAGCTCTTTTGGAAAGGAGCTGTCCAAAGGTGCTCAGGTCAAGTGGAAAAAGACAGGGAGGGGCTCCATCTGTGCTAGAAAACAACAATGGGCAAAAGGGGCATTTTCGATCCAGGTGAAGATCCTACAGGATAGATATGAGAGAGTGAATAAGGTCAAACATGAACAAATTCACTTTTGGTTCAGGTAAAATTTTGTGCATGGGTGTGTGTGCCTGTTTGTGTTTGGCTGAAAAAAAAAATGAAGCTGCAAAGTAATATGGTAAGAAAATACTGGTATTAATAGAAAACTCTAAGGTAATAGCTATTTAGAAAAAAAAAGAACAATTCACGTAGTAGTTTTGGAAAAAGTGTCTTAGTTCACAATAGTTTTGTTTTTCCCATTAACTAGTTGTCTAATCTTTCCAATTCACTCAACGTCTCTGCACCTATTGCCTTAGTTTTGCAATGGGAGACTACCACTTGCTTGGCAAACGTCAAAGCTACTGGGAGAACGGGTGAAATGAGATATGAGGAAGCTTTGAAAAATGTCACAGCACTGTGCAAATTGAACCTCAATTTGCAAAACGGAGAGAGCACCTGCTAAAAAGCAGAGCTTCCCTGTGTGGACGGCCCACCCCTGCGCTCTTCCAGACCCTTGACCTTCATTCTCACACTTAGTTCCCACAATGATCACAAGGTAAATGGGATTATCCTGCTTTTATAGGTGAAGAAATAGGGCTCAGAAGGGGTAACTTACCCAAGCCACATAGTTAGAAGGTGGAGGAGCCCAGAGCTATGGGCGTCCTGGCGCTTTTATGCCGCATCAACCCGTAACGACAGCACAAGTGAAGGTATTCTGAATTGAGGAGCTGCTCAACAAGTCCTCAGATGTAATCTCCTCGGAAGCCCCTGGTTACACTGATCATAGGCTGCCATGCTTAGCGCTATCTTACTTTTGTATATCTATCAACTGTAAGTTCATTGGGGTCTGGGTTCTCTAATGTAGAGCCTTGAATCTAGCACATGCTCCAAATAAAGCTTTGTAAAGTGGAGTTAAACATTTGGAAGGGAAATGTGTCCAATACACAAATGTACCTGTGTGTCAAAAAGCAGTGCTGCACCTTCATTTATTAGAAGATCCAAAGACGCAAAAGGTTTCTTATAAAGTCCTGTGGTGCAGGCTACCAATTTATTAGCCTCTTTACTATTTCCTCCACCTGAAGAAGGACAACAGCTTCCTCTCAGGATGCCACAGGCAGCAGAATAGGAGGAGCCCAAGTCAAGAAAGAAATAGAGGCTGGGTATGGAGGCTCACGCCGGTAATCCCAGCACTTTAGGAGGTCAAGGTGGAAGGATCACTTGAGCCCAGGAGTTTGAGACCAGCTTGGGCAACATGGGGAAACCCCATATCTACAAAAAAATATAAAAATTAGCTGGATGCGGTAGTGTATGCCTGAATTCCCAGCTGCTTGGGAGGCTGAAATGGGAGGATCACCAGAGCCTGGGGAGGTTGAGGCTGCAGTGAGCCGTGATCAAGCCACTGCACTCCAGCCTGGGCAACAGAGTGAGACCCTGTCTCAAGGGGAAAAAAAAAAAAAAAAAAAGGCAGGGGGCATTCAAATTCTCTGTTCTATCTCCTGGTAGAGATATTACACATAGTAGGGAGCTAATAACAGCAACTTTTGATTCCCATGATTAAAGAAACTGTGGCCTAAGAACTAATGTAGCTGTCAGCAAAGGGCTTGGGAAACAGATACTCTCAAACCCTTCTTGTGGGAATATAAATTGGCAATTTATATGAAAAACCTAAAAGATGTACATGCCCTTTGGCCCACTGCTCCCATTTTTAGAAATTTACCCTAATGAAATAATAAGAATTTCTTCTAAGTCTTGCCTATGCGGATATTTGCCTAGAAAAAAATTGGAACTCATGTAAGGGTCCAACAATGGGAATATTAAATAATGTATGTATGTCCATCAGATAAAATCTGATGTAATCATTTAAAATAATGACATGTGGGCCTGGTATAGTAATCCTAGCACTTTGGGAGGCCAAGGTGGGCAGATCGCTTGAGGTCAGGAGTTTGAGACCAGTCTGGCTAACATGGTGAAACCCCGTCTCTACCAAAAATACAAAAATTAGCCAGGCATGGTGGCAGACACCTGTAATCCCAGCTATTTGGGAGGCTGAGGCAAGAGAATCGCATGAACCAGGGAGGCAGAGGTTGCAGTGAGACGAGATCGTGCCACTGTACTCCAGCCTGGGCAACAGAGTAAAACTCCGTCTCAAAAAACAAAACAAAACAAAATAAAATAAAGACATGTTGAAGAAATATTTAGTGGTCTGGGAAATGCCCAGGATATAGTACATGCAAATGCAGGTTATAAAATGAGATTATTTTTTGTTCCTCTATTTCACTGAGTTTTCCTCAATAAACATGCATTTTGTTTGAAACAGGAAAAAACCCGACCTTCTAAATGTCATTTTTAAAAAGCAGAAACAAGAAGCTAGCAGGAGGGTTAAACTTGCTCCTTCCCGAAGGGTCACACAGGAGGAAGACGCCAGACAGAGCTACAGATCAGGGGCCACCACAGGGTGGCAAATCTCTTCCTGGAGCCCCAAGGCTCAGCTCAGAGAGTTACGGGGGTCCTGCCAGTTCCTGTCCCTCGGTAAAGCAAGGCAGTCAGAAAGTCATTGTATTCCTGTCATTTTCCTTGAGCGTTTACTGGAATCAGAAGCCATGACTATGCTCTAACCTCCAGCCCTCTGCAGAGAAGGCAGGCACAGCATACGGTGAGTCTCTGGACATGAGTCTCCATGAGAAATCGGGGAGGCAAGGACCCGGGGTCCCAGAAGACTAGAGGACAAAGAGGGTTCTGGGTGGCCTTGGGTAGGGGCTTGGGTGGGAGCCGAGGAAAGGACTTATGAGCTAGCGATGAGAGAGTAGAGCCCCGGGCCCAGGGAGGCAGACAGCAGAGGCTGCTGTGGCCCAGCGGCCAGGGCATTCCACCCCTGGGCTGCCCCCAGGCAAGGAGGTGGAAGGTTTAAAAGGTCTGAAATGTTTTAACCAAGGGAGTGACTTGGTCAGTGCTGGGTCCTACACAGATTCCTCTGGTCGTTGTATGGACAACCTCAAGGGACTGGTCTCC